TTTTTCCTAGCATCTGGTTACTATGATAGAAAGTGAGAAGCCGTAGAGCCTGAACTCAAACTTGCATTTACTGAATTCTTCGAATACACTCGTAAGTTTCGCAAAAAAAAAGAGAATCATAATACAAGACCCCCTAAAAAATTTTTCCGCTTAAACATAATAGAAGACCCCGGGGTCTTTTATTGTGGGGGGGGGGGGGGGGGGGGGTTTAGAGCATCCTACACATTTCTCAGACGACTCGGGTCCGAATTCAAGATCAACTCGACGACCTCTACTTACAAAGAAACCTTCACAGGTAGTAAAAAGTTTTTGAAACGAACCTTGTGGTGTTAGGTAGAGTTCGCTGAGACTAGGCACGACCCTTCTGCACAGTTAACCGACACCGTTTGATTCTTTGTTTCGTTAATATTTGTACTTAAATTTAACAGTTATTTTTTAATTAACCTAATTTTTTATTTTAACTAAAAATAAAAATACAAGCAAACACAAACAAATGAATCTTAAAACATAAATATAAAAGAATTAATCGAATAAAATTAATATAAAAACATATAAATTCTCAACTGAACTTGGTTATTGTTATATTGATTCTTTTCTCTAAGCGAGCAAGCAAACGGAATAAGTGATGCGACAGACGCCTATATATGTATTTATATGATTTTTTTTTTCGTTCTGGAGCCATTCGTTTTCTATAGTTCACTAGAAAAATTACCGATGAACCGCGGTTAACCGGTGAAATTTATAACGAACCGTGGTATCAATTAAAACTAACGATTTATCGCTAAAAGTGATTCGATTTTTGTGACATGGATATCTTTGTTACTTTCGTTTCGAGGTGCGTAGGACTGACCAGAAGTCCTGATAACACTAAATAAAAATATAAAAATAAAGAGATATTTGAAATTTTATTTTATTAAATATTCAAAATAATCGCAAAATTCTATCCTTTCTAACAATTGATCAAATGTTTTTGTTTTTCAAACTCTTCCTCTGAACTATCTTGGAAGCCGTACTAGTTAATCAGGAATCACATTATTAGTGTTAAATCTGAAAGTTGAATTCAATTATTGAAGATCTATTCATATATTTCACTATTTAATTCTTTATTATGAGAGGTGATTCTCAGATTTTGTTTATCTCATGAAACAAAAACTTGTTGATTTAATTTTAGGCTTATGATCCTGAATTGTTTGGTAAAGCATTGCCATGTTTAACAGGTAAGTGTGTGACTAATTTATATAAAGAAATATTGAAGTATGTTTTCATATTGTTAGCAATTGGTAGTGCTCTATCACCAGATTATGCTTATTCAATAACTCAACAAGATCATTTAAATCATGAACAAGAAAAAGTTGAAATGTCTCGTGGTTATGAACCAAATTCAGCTGATACATCAAAGTTTGTTTGAAACAAAAAAAACAAAACAAAGAATTGAATACATATATAATTTTAGTGTTGTATTGAGTCCGGCATTAGAAGATTTTGTTAAAGCTTATGCTGAAAGTGTTCATGATCAATGGTCTTATGCTAAAGTAAATTAGAAATAGATATATTATTTTAGAATTTTTATATTTCTATTTAGATCGAACAAGGTTGGATATATGGTGAACAAATTAATGATAAATATCGTCAACATTCTAATTTAAAACCATACAAACTTCTTGATCGAATGGTTAATCATATTTTTTTTTGTATTGTTTTTTTTTTCTACTTCAAATATTTAATTTAGGATATTGCTAAACTTGAAGATCCTATTCGTGAAGCATTAAAATCTATTGAAAAATTACATTTTCATTTAGAAAAAACTGACGCAGGTATAACACGTATTGCTACAAAACCATTACAACGAAAAAAACAAAAAGTAAAATTTGTGTAAATGATGAGTAAAATAAAGAAATTCTTTTTGTTTATTGTTTTTTTTTCAAGGATAAAAATGCACCTGATTATATTCCGAAAGCATTGGATTTTAATAGTGTAACAATGAATCGAGATATGCAGGTAATAAAAAAGAACATATGATTTAGAATCTTCATATTTACAAAATTTTCTATCGAAAACTAATGAACGATGCAAAAGTCTTTGCACAAATGTCGAGTCATTTTTTGGACGGATGCAGAGACATGTTTGACTGAATATTTTGTGATCAATCGATAGCTAGTTCTTTTCTCTTTCGAATGATATACGACTAATTATTATTGCTTGTTCATTAAAAAAAAATGACACATGATGAAAGAGAAGCACTCTCACAACATATTCGCAACTTCTATCATGATTCTTTTAATAATTTTGTAAAAACTACAGTAAATTATTTCGAAAAACAAAATATTCCACGAAGAATGATATATTATATACGAAACAAGTATTTAAAATATGGAACCATGAAAGATCAATCTCAAAATGGACGTCCGATAAAATTATCCAACAAAACTATGAAAGTCATTGTTAGATCTGTAAACAATCGATGTGATCTTAGTCAACGTAAAATGGCACGACGTTTTCAAGTACACCAATTCACAATTTCATGTAATCTTCAAAGACGAACATCGATCCTTATCAGAAAACGTCGGAAAGCCTCAAAAATGAACAATGAAGATTAAGAAAAACGAGCAAGAACAAATTATGGAATATCGTATCGCAAATTGTTAAATGGCTGTGATCTGATTTTAGATGATGAAAAGTTTCTTCAATTTCTGTGGAGATAATGTCATCGACAATCATTTTTGTTATTCTACTGATCAAACTACAGCTTCTCCAAATATTAAGTTTCAAAAGAAGGAAAAATTTCAACTGAAACTAATGATTCGAATGGCCATAGCATCAAAGGAAGTTTCGAATGTCTATGTTCACAAAAGCAAACAAGCTGTTGATCAGTGACCGACACGGGTCACTTTTTTGTGACCCGACCCGACCCGAGCTCAGAAAAATTAGACCCGACCCGACCCGAGGTGAGGGATAGTTTTTGACCAATAAAAGTGAGTTTTTTTCAGACATTGACAATCTTCTCAGTAAATCGATACATATTCTATAGGTATTCGAAATAAAGAAATGATTATCTCATCTAAAATTGCTGCTTTTCTTATGTGAAGTTCGGAATTCGTAAAACTTTTGTGACCCGACCCGACCCGACCCGACCTGACCCGAGGTCTGACCCGACCCGTGTCGGACACTGCTGTTGATCAAGAAACATATTTAAAAGAATGTATTGATAGAAGACTGTTGCTGTTTATTGATAAATATCATTCGGATAGAAATTATCTGTTTTGGCCAGAAAATAAAAAAAATACCATTTTTTTCTCATGGTGATAATCCACCAAACGTGCCTCAAGATCGTCTAATTGAAGCTATTTGGACTTTATTTGAACGAAAAGCATATGAAAATAATTGAGAAATAAAAAGCGAAAGAACTTGATCAAAAAATGCTGCAAGCCATGATTGAGGGTGTTCGAAAAAAGCTTCGGGCGATGTGGCGAAATGGACTATATTCTGTTTTGTAAATACACTTTATTGTAGCGTTTTTCGTACTCTTTCTAATAAAAAAGTAGGTCAATAGCTTGTAAAATGGCTGCACTGTAGAAGTGGACATTTATGTAAAACCTTTTGCATCGCTCATTATATGAAGTTGGATTAGAGAATATTATTCTTCTTCTTTGATTTTGTAAATAATTGAACGACAGAAAAATTCGTACTGTTAATTCTTTCTGTTTAAATAAATTGAAAACTACATAACTGTGGATCTCTTTTGTTTGTTTCAGGAATTGTCTGAAGCATTAGCTCGAAATGCTCATGAAATTTGGGCAAAACGCTTAAAAGATCGTCTTGCTGCAATTGGTAATTCTTTCTATTGAAATTTATTTCATCTACTTTTTAATATTATTTAGGTGGTGGTCTTCATTGTCGACTTGTTCCTTTTGAATTATTAACTGATAAAGAAAAACAAAAAGATTTAAAATTTTATCAAGATCTTGTTAAATATCTTCATACATTTGGTTATCGTGTTGTCAAGTAAAATACAAAATAAAAATAAAAATAAAAATATTTATGAATTTATTTAGAAATTTTCATGACAGAAATGCAACAATTTCAAGTTTAGCTTCACGTGTTGCTTCAGCGTCAACATTAATAAATGATAAACGTTTTGCATATAGTTTATTAGAAAAATTACTTGAATATGTTGAACGTGCATCAATAACCATGCAAAATTATAAAGAAAGTTCGAAATTTTCCTTACATGAAACTTATCGTTTAACAACACAAGATGTAAAATTTTTTGGAAAAGTAAATAAATAAAAATTTTTTAAAATAAATAAATAAATAAATAAATTCTAGGTCGTCTTACCACTTATTGAAAAATATTTTCAAGCACATAGAAATTATTTTATTATACCACCATCATTAAAAACTGGTGTTAGTTGTGCATCAGTTAAAGAAAAAGAAATGAGTTGTAGTTTATTTTGTAAATTAGCATTTTTACTTCGACAAAAATTTAGTGCATTTGGAAATGATGTTAGTATAACTGTTCGTTGTTTAAAAGTACTTGTTCGTGCTATTGATGTTAGGTATGTATGTCTATATGAAATATAAAATCAATCAGAATTTTTTTGATCACAAAAATTTTCATTTTCTTTTTAGTTCAGTAATGAGAAATAGTCAAGAAATGGTTCGTGCTTCATTATTACCATTATTTAATAATATTGCTGAAGATCTTAATCAAACTGTACAAAATCTTGAACAAAATCATTATAGTAATATAAAAGGAACATTACAACGTGGAACAACTAGTCTAGGTTATATACATATGGTTCTTTTACCTGTACTATCATCATTACTTGATCATTTGGGAAAGAATAATTATGGTGTTGATGTATTCGGTATGTGAATAATTAATTTGAGATTTAAAAAATAAGAATAAGTGATTAGTTTAAGAATGTAATGAATGCCCCATAATAAATGACTGGTTTTTGCTCTTAATGTTTATAATATCTGATACAATTTCATAGGCGACTACACATCCACATCCAAGCATGATAAGTTTCTCAATATTGTGGTCCTCGGTATTAGTTGAAAATATTTTTCCTCACATACGATTTTTGACGGGCTACAGCCTCCTATATGTAGCATTTCCGATTATCTTGTCAGTATGAGTGTGGGTGTGTAGTCATCTATCAGTAAATTGACTCTAGGTCCTTCGAAGTCTTATGGAAACAAGATTTACGATATACCATTCGATGCTCCTTAAAAAGCTCTATGACATGGTATATTTTGTTTTTCATTTCTCAATAGGTTCCCTTATCCGAAAAGATCCTTTAAACGCTGTGGCCAGAACTTTTAGTATGTCCTAAGTATATGCATCTCTTGTTTTTAAAATCGATAAAATTCTACTTGACCATTTTTAGGCACACGTGTCATACCTGTTTTTATTTCATTCCACTACATATTGTGGCCAATAGAATTTCACACATGATAATCCAAAACATTGAGGCTCAAAGCATTGAATGGCCATGTATTTTCATCAATAAATTGAGTCAAATTGTTCTTAATTCACACTAGTGAAACGTTATGCGTATACGGCTTTGAGTTGTCTTGTTGATAGATAATATCATCATCTAAAAGTCGTTGATCTTCAGGTCGTGTATATAGAAGAACAACAACTTCCACATAGTTTTTGTGTGTTAATGTTTCACCGGGTTCAACTACGAGTGGAGATTTTTTGATGTACTGAGTCATACCATAATTCTATTTAAAAATTTGGCTGTTAGTCTCATTCCTCTGCGCTCATCTACTTCTTGTCGACATGGAACATAAACACAGTCATTGCAACGATTGAATCTATCATCCAGTTCAACATATTTTTTCTCGATCATTTTCTCTTAACGACTTTCGTATTCGATATGCAAATCATATTCTTCATTCTTTGTATTTGTCACGAAGGTTTGTCTCATATGTAACATGATATAAGTATCTAAATGAAGAGATCGTCCTAAACTATACGAATCATTGTCTCATTAGAAATAAACCGATTTTTTCATTTTTCGAATAAGACTTTTTGTCTCTCAATAGGTTTTTTTTCAAAATAATTGTATCTGGTGTTCTGTATAAATGTTGCTATCGTCTAATTGTACGTTTGCTGATCATCTTTCGTAGTTTTTTAACCATTTGCACCCATGACATACCATCATTAGTCATTTGCACAACTACTTTTCGACGATCTTCAGTCTTGAACATTTCAAATACATGGACATTTATTATTTATTGTCTAGAGATGGTTACTCAGTTTAATGCGAATCCTTACCAGAGGTTCATACAAAGTACTGATATATATCAAAGCAGATTTTAAGTTGATAAATAATCAGAAGGGTTTATTGGATACCTTACAGAAAATAATGATCGCTTGAAATTTAAATACTCATGATCGAAAGGAATTCATCATGCTTCAGCTCATAGTTGGGACACATATAGAAACCTTCTAAATTAGAACTACTTCAAAAAGATTCATGCTTAGGATATCCAATTGTTTTTGAGAATATCGATTTTCTGTAGTATTCCATCGAAGAGAAGGTGTCTTCTTATGAATATCTTAGCTTCTCAAAGATAAAACCGCTAAAGTTTTCTATATGTCCTGATTTCCCACAAGACTGTAAGACTTTTTTCAAAACGTTCGACATTTTTGAGAAGGAACAGTACCTGTCATCTTCTCCTTAATCGGTAATTTTATTCATGCTCCATATATCTTCTCCACAGAATTACGATTGTTTAGCTAAATTTTTATTATAGAACGGGGATGTGGCTAAGAAATTTCATTTGTAAGAATATCTCATCACCTTAAGAACATCCTAAAAGTTCCAATAAAAAACTATTACTTTCTCCTAGAAATATTCAATATTCAAAAAAGAAACTTTCGATTTTGTTCTAACCATTTCTTAAACATCTCACAAATGGGGCAATCATTTCGACTGAAATTTTTAGGATGTTCTTCAGATGATAAGATCTACTTTATAGATAAAGTTTCAAAATTGAAGTTCATCCGTTTGACTTTTCTATCAATAACCTCGTCCTATGGATGAAAGTCTAACAATAGGATAACACACATTAGGTGATTAACTCGTCAGTGGAATGTAACAATTATGAGTTTGTTTTGATGGAAGTCTCTCCATGTTCTATTGAAAATACTTTTGAATAGAACACTAAACAAACTGCTTTTCTTTCTTGAGATTTAGTTAACAACTAATAATACAGGTATTGATTTCATAGAGAAAGATGTGTTAATTCGATAGACTCACCGATCATATCTCAATGTCAGTACGAGGTACATAGTTATGAAATACTTCTAATAATCGATTTTCATCGAATAATTCAAAAATTTTCGTAGAAAAGAAGAACAAGACTTGTTTTTTTCCTTTTTATAAATATATATTCTAAGTTCACTAATGTTTTGTTTCATAGAAAATGAAATCCAATTAGCTGGTTATAAAATTCTAAATGCTTTATGGATTATTGGAACAAAAGGAACAAAACTTGTCGATCGGTAATTATCGATCTATGAAATTTTGAATTGATAATAAATAATATTTTGTCATTTATTGAAGAGAATGGATTATTGAAGAATTGAATCGTCATCTTCCATTAATCGGTGATTGTCTAAGTTCATTTGCATCATGTTTTCCTGTAGCATTTTTTGAACCTGAATTTAATGCAAATAATAAAAACGCATCAAATGTTTCACAATTATCACCAGAAGCTCATGGTAAAAACAAAAAAACAACAAAAATTTTAAACTACAAATATAAAAACAATTTAATTTCTATTTTAAATAGATGTTATGACAAATATTTCAAGAACAATTCCTAATTTAACAAATTTAATAGCAGATATTGAAGAACATGCTGAATCAAGAGTAAAATATGAAAATGCTCCTTATGTTGTTGAAGTTATTCTTCCATGTCTTTGTTCTTATTTATCATATTGGTGGTCAATGGGACCAGAAAAAGTTAAACAAATAACTGAGTATAAATTTTTTGTTTCTTAATTCTAAGATTATAGTTTTTAATTTTCTTTTTTTTTGTTTTTATTAGACCACAGATAACAAATGTTACATCAAATCATATGAATTCTGTATTAGGTAGTGTTTTGAAATTAATTAATAACAATATTGATGCTATTGAAGCTCCATGGATGAAACGTATTGCAGGTAAAATATTATTTTCTAGAGATGAATAATTAAACGATATAAAAAATTCAATATCTTCAGTCTATATTATCCAATTTGGATTGGTTCTTTTTTCTTGTCAACAAACTTTTTACTCATAAGAAAACTGTTCAGAACTGTCAACTGTATCCTATTTAGACTTCCAATGTCGCGCAAAGCACTCGAAAACTCATATTCTCATATAATTATAGAGACATACTTATTCTCAGCAGCGGGTCATTATCTATATATCTCATAACGAGTTAATATTAGCATCGGTATACATCTATGTATGTAGTATGTTAAAAACTACATACAGCTGAAAGTAAGTGTCTCGCAGAGTACATAGTAACGTAATACAGTTTTCAAGATCAATAATGAGCACTGAATAAGAATCAATTATGGTTGTATGAAATATACTTGTTATGTAGTTCAGAAGATTCGGTCCCTATCACAATGGAGCGGTTGAGAGTCGTTGCTAGAAAAAGGCCATGGACAGCGACGTATTTAGGGGTGGGAATAGGGGGACCGATCCCCCCCCCCCCCGTAACATGTTTAAATACCTGAAGGGGGTACAGGTTTATTATTTTTCCCAACTTAAAAATTACCTTTTTTCTATGGCGATCCCCCCCCCCCTAAAAAAATTCTTGGATACGTCGCTGGCCATAGACTCTAAAAATCGCCAGTTATCCGTAGTTCTTCTGGTTTATTTGTTTTCATATTTCACTATATGAATATTTTTTAACTCTAATACCGCTGGTACCAGCCACATAGGCTGGTTTCGCTTAATTTTCGGATCTGATTATTTATTGAAAATGGTACCACAAATAATAGCCCTTAGTAGACTTAACCAATAGAAGAAAGTGTGGTGGTGTAAGAAAATTGAATTTTTTTTTTCATTAGCAATCGATCTGTTCAATACAGAAAATATCAAGTTAATAGAAAAATTATTAAAAAAAACGGAGTAAACCGTTCAAACAATAAAAAATGAATAAGTTAGTGTCATTTTTCTGACTTGTCAATCTCAAACTAAAAAGGACATTCAATTCTCGGCAAGTCATTGAAGTTTTTTTTTAGTTTATATGAGCATTTATTTGTCAAAGATATAGACAATTATGCAAATTAAGAGAGAAAATTCTTAGGCTACACATACTATTAGTCAAAAGTATCTAACCTTGCAATCTCAATCTTTCCTTAGGACTAGATATGTGAAATTTTTAGCGTATGTACTACGTTAAAACTGTATCTTGTATATATATATATAAATATATGATATCTTTTTTTTTAGCGTATACTCAAACAATTATTTTTAATTCTTCAACAAATCTTGTTGAACCATATTTTTTACCTGTATCACAACGTATCAAATTAAAATGTGAAGATTCATATGCACAAGAACAATCATTAAAAAATGCAACTCGTTTAGAATCATCTGAACGTGAAGATCTTGAATTAAATTTAATGAAGGTAAAAAAAACGAAAAAAAAAAATTCGTAAATTTTTCTTTTGTTCGTTGTATTAGGATTATGAAATTCTTGTTCGTGATATTTATGCATTTGGACCATTATTAATCAAATATGTTGATATTCATCGATCATATTGGCTTAAAAATAGTGATAAATATGCAGAAGAATTATATACAAATATGGCTGAAGTATTTTCTATTTGGTGTAAATCAAAAGTAAATTGAAACTAGATATCATATAGGCTTAACTTGTGATGTGAAGCACATCCTCAAACTAGACTCTTCGTTTATGAGATTACAGGATAACTAATTCTCTAAGGAATATGAAAATTTATAACATCATACGACTCTCCGATCTTTTGATCATTGCGACAAACGAATAGCAATTTTTTAGTTATGTTTTGAGTAAAAAACAAAGAACTCATGATCGATTATTCTGTACAGTTCTTCACACCATAATACAAGCAAATAAATAAACGAATTTTTTTTTTTTATTTCTATAGTATTTTAAACGTGAAGAACTTAATTTTGTAACTACACATGATATTGATAATACAAGTATGTTAATGCCAAGTGGAACAAATCAAACAACAAATACAAATATAACAAAAACTTCCGATGAAATTAGTGGAAAACAACGAAAAAAAAAACGTCGACTTGATAAAGAAAAATTTACATCATTAAATGTTGCTTGTACAAAACGTTTATTACCTATTGGAATGAATACATTTGGTGGACGAGAACAAGAACTTGTTCAATTAGCTAAACATAAAATGATTGAAGTAATAAGATAATCGAATATATTTCTTTTGAGAATATTTCATTAAAAAAAGAAATAGCAAAAATAGATTTATTCTATAGTTTACTGATCGAGCTGGGTCTAGGGCATTCGTCGGGTTGGATCTAAGCAATGTTCAGGCCACTGTGGACTGGACCGGGAAAACTCGAGTTTTGATTTACTTCAATCATAAAATTTGATTCGTAAAGGAATCTCATCCAGTATTAAATCATAATATCTGAGTTTAAATTTTATACAAATAAAATTCTCAATGAAATTAATGTATCACTTGTCAAGATTTTCTCATCCTTTTTTTCTAGTTTAGCTGAATGAACGAATAATTAAAAATAAAAACTTGAAATGTATTTCAACAAATTTTTTTCCACTTCTGAGAGTCATTGAAACTGTTTGTTTAAAACTAAAAGAGAGATTGAGAAGTTTATTGAAAGTATCAAAAATGAATACGAGTAAAATTTGAAAATATCTTTAGATAGAATTTCTAATCGAGAAATTTGATTTCAGATATTTATGAGATAGCTTGTTTCTTTTCTTATTTACATATTTGGTTCTATATCTAATACATATTGACCATTACGATAGCTATACTTTGTTTTTATAAATTAAAAGAACAAATGTTTGAAATATAATATGTATATTTTTTTGTTTGTTTCATTCAATAGATGAAAATTGCACACGATGAAGAAATAGAAAATCCAACAGATGAACAAATGATTTCAGATATAACAGTTTGTTGACATAATATTTCTCCTGTGTTTTATATATATATATATATTATTATTATTCTCTAGACTGAACAAGAAGAACTCATACAAGAATTTCTTGAAGAGAGTTTTCGTGCTCAAGAACAAGTATATCTTATATATTTCTTCAATTTATATTATCTTTAATATATAATTTCATAGGGAGAAATAATTAAGAAAAATAATTGGCAAAGTATATTATATCGAAAGATTGGTTCAAAATCATATCATAGTGGTGTAAATCATTCGGAAGAAACATCTATAAAAAATATGTTAAAAATGGCTAAAGTATTATTTGGTTTAAATTTTGTTGATCATCCTCCAACACATCGACGTGGTACATGGCGAAAACTTGTTTCAACACAACGTAAAAAAGCTATTATGGCTTGTTTTCGTATGGCACCATTACATTCTGTTACACGACATCGAGCTATGAATATGTTTTTACGTGCATATCAAGAAATATGGCTCGAAACTGAAGAAGATATACGTGCACGATTAATTGAAGATCTTTGTGTAAGTTATTTTTATCATATTTTTTTTTTGTTTTTGTTTTATTTTAAATTTAAAATATTTAAAGAATATTTCTCATGATATTAATGAACAAGATATAACAACTATGAAAGAAGAAACTGAAACTGAAACAGAAAGTTTAACATTAACAATAACAATAAAACCAGATCCATTAAAACAATTATTACAATGTTTAAATCGAGCTGCAACTACTGCTCAAGTTTTTTCAATTACAGATGATATTATTTATTTATCTTATTCTACAATTATGAGTAAAGTAAGATTAAAGCAAAACAAAAAAAAAAAAACATGACTTCCAAAATTATTCGACTAGATTTCTTTCCCATTATCATGAACGCTAAGCAAAGTCTAAATAATAGTCAAAGATATTTAAACTGTATTATATTTAATGAGACATCCGTACCGAACATTACTATTAAAGACAATATTAGAAGAAATTATCTATCGTGTATAATTTTCTTTTGTATATGTATAACTTAATTACTCAAATACCAATTGCATGAAACATTACTGTTTTAATACAGTGAATTTCAATTTCATCTTTACATATGATCGTTTCCTATAAAATTTTTCTAATGGTTTTGATCACGACTATTTCACTGTTGCTGAAGTATACAAAATTGAAGATTATCATTTAAAAGAAAGATTTTTAAAAACAGCTAATTCTTATAGTGTCTTTTTAGCAGATGACAAATGATTCGTATTTCTTTTTCTTATCGATTTATGTGGTTTCAGAGAATGAAGTGAATATCAGCATTTTCATTAATTTCAGAAAAATGATTGAAATCTTTTATTTCAAAAATTTAATTGTTTAGCTCGTAGTATTAAAAACTTTAATATTGGATGCATCAGAATACTCCATTAATACTGTAGATGTATGGAATTCAACTATTTTTTCCAACATTGATCAAGATTCTTTGAAAATTTTATTTTGTAAAGAAATGTTTGCTGTATAATTCTGTATAGTGCAAACAGAATTGTAATTGGGAATGTTAGGAACTGAAAAACTTGGATTTTAAATTTTCCAGAAACTTGCAAAAATTTTCATCTTCGAAAATTCTTGTTGGAAATAAAATTTTTCACTAGAATAGCCTTTGAGATCATTATTTTAATGTTTACAACAGAAACCGTCACAGGGCAGGGCTGCCTTGACGCCCTGCCCTGCCCTTCCCTACCGGGCAGGACAAATTTTTATTTTTAGCCCTGTCCTGAGGGCAGGGCAGGGCATGACAGGGCAGGACAGGGCAAAATAGTTTGCTCTGCTATCTTTTTTGTAAAAAGTCATTGGAGAAATATTCTCTAAATGTAAATATAAAACTTTGAAAACATATATATTCTATATAACTTCACCAAATGTTGATAACTCTATGTCTTCAGTTGATGTCATTACATCTTTTCGATCATATACTCCTTCTAATTCATCACGGTCTTGCAAGAATTTTGTCGATTTTGAAAACATCCGAGATCTCATAGCACATCAAAAGCATTCATACTATATAATAAGAAATGAATCTTCATCTTCTGCTAAATACGGAAGAATCTTCGATTCCTGACTTCACTAAATAACGATAATCAATTACAAATATCTACTAGCTTTATTGATAGATACATTGTTTTCATATAAATATTCTACTGATGTCACACATCTGTTTAGAAAAACCTAGAGAAACTGGACGAATATCGATAATGTTTGATTTAAAATCTGTTACATGGCACTATTTTCACCCTTTTATAATATTATCTTTAGCCTAAAATTTAGATTTTTTTACAGCTTTTAAGAGTTTCTCAAATCTTTTTGATCAATTATGATTCATTAATAATCTTAATTATTAATAGTTGTCAAATCATATTAATCGATTAAAAAGAATTGAAAAAAACTTTGAAAATAGAAAAATTGGAACTGGAATTAAAGCATGGATCTTAAACGGATGGATCACAGAGCCATTTTAATAGACTTTTAATCGGAATGAATCGATTTTAATGGGATTTCTTTCTCTATTGTTTTGCGTGAATAATAGTCTGTCGAACGAGGAAAAAAGATACGACTACTCAGCATAAAAACGACACAAGTTTTCACTAAGTTATCAATTCCAGTCATACCTAAGCTCAATGTATAGGCCCTGCAGGGCGCCCTGCCCTGCCCTCAGGGCAGGACCAGGGTGGATTTTTATTTTTATCTGTGCCCTGAGGACAGGACAGGGCAAGGTAGGGCAGGGCAGGGCAGAAAAAAGTGCCCTGTGACGGTCTCTGGTTTACAATAGTTGAAAAAAGATCAGATCGAATAATTTTGAGAGCCATTGTACATATATATATATATTTGATTTTTTTTTAAAAGAGTTGTGTTATTGCTGATGATGATGATGATGGAGGAGCGGAAGAAGTCAAATCATTTCAGGTAAAATAATCCAAAAGTAATCAATTAATATTTGTATACATATATATATATATATTAAGGAACAAGAAATGGAAAAACAAAAATTACTCTATGAACAAAATCGAGTAGCTAGTCGAGGTGCTGCTGAAACTGTATTATTATATATAAGTGCAAGCAAAGGTATTTTTATCAATTTATTTTTTTTTAAATATATTTAAATTCAAAAAAAAAAAAAATTAAGGTGAAAACAATGAAATGCTTCGACGAACATTACAACTTGGTATATCATTATTACATGGTGGTAATCGAGAAGTTCAAAAAGTAAATTCTTCTTTTTTTTAATTTTATATATTATTATTATTATTATTATTGATATTGAATTAATTATAGCGAATGTTAGATTATTTAAAAGAAACAAAAGATGTTGGATATTTTACTTCATTAGCAACATTAATGGCTAATTGTAGTGTACTTGATCTTGATACATTTGAACGTTGTATTAAAGCTGATGTACTTGGTATATTAATTTAATGATTTATTATAATTATATTTAAAAGTTTTTTGTTTTTTTTGTTTTCTTATAGGTGTTGGTACAGAAGGAATGGCTGAAGAAAAGAATTTACATGATGCTGATTTTATAATATCACTTTTTCGTTTTTGTCAACTTTTATGTGAAGGACATAATCTTGAATTTCAAAATTATCTTCGTTTACAAATTGGAAGTAGTACAAATGTGAATATTATTATTTGTACTGTTGATTATTTACTTAGTTTACAAGTAACAAAAAAAAAAAAAAAAGAAGAACTTTATAGAATATTTTTTATTAATATTTAGGAATCATTAATGGATTTTTATTGGCATTATTCAGGCAAAGAAACAATTGATACATATGGAAAAGAAAATCTTTGTCGAGCTATTAATGTTGCTAAACAAGTTTTTAATACATTAACAGAATATATTCAGGTTTGATATGTCAAAAAAAAAAAAAAGATCATCATTATGTGATTGGTTTTTTCTTAGTCTATTTTTAAAAATATATGAAAAAGTTATATACAATTGTAAGAATATGTTCTAGCGACGAGACAATCTCTCCAGAGATCAAATCGTTGTTCGACCGAGACGATGTTCACTTGATACATTAATAGGATAGTTTGGTTTTCCGAACCTTCGTTCTTGAGATAATCGAAATTTTACTGAAGATTTCGTTGATTGTGCAACTTTTAGCTTTTCTAGTATTTTCTTTCGGGAGATGTAAATTTAGTTTTACATATGAGAAAAAACTTTATTCGTGCAAAGTTTGAAGTTGAAAGTTAATTTTTTATCTGATCAAAACTGTTTTTGTTGAACAATTCAGTAAACTTTCGCGATATTTCATTCTTTTTTTTGTATATTGAATATTATGAAAATATGATGTTTTACATAAGATTTATCTAAATGTATCTCAATATAAATTAATTAATCGTAGGACTGACTTTTTTCTCTTCAGTGGAATTTATTCTCAAAAGATTATTTTATCATAGAGGATTGTCATAGAAAATTCTTCAGCAGATCTATTCAAGATACAAGGTATAACAAAATTATAGACCCATCTCCTTTTTATTTTTGAAATTTTTCAACAGAGACGAATAGTTAGGTTAAATCTAAATAGTGATTTGATTAGCCATTGATATTCTCTATCGAATACACCTTTGGATCAAAATTTTAAAAGAAACTTTGTGAAAAGAGTTTTCCAGAAAATCGGCTCACTGGAATTTTATGTCCTGAGAAAAATATTTTAAAATACAGTCATATGAAAGAGCGAAAAATTCTGAACAAAATGAAGGGTCGCCCTAGCTCTCCACAATGTTTCGTTGAAAAGTGATAAATTATGCAATCTTTTGAGTTTTTCTGATGTTTATAACTTTGCAACGAAACATCATGAAGAGTTAGGTGATCCGTCATTTTGCTCAGAATTTTTTACTCTTTCAAATAATTATATTTAAAAATACATTTGTCAAACTTCTATAGGACATGAAATTTCAATGGACTAGTTTTCTGGAAAACTCTCTTCGTAAAATTTCTTTTGAAATTTTGCTCCCTACTATATATTCGATAGAGAATTTCAATGACTATCCAAATTATTGTTTAGATTTGACCTAGCTATTCGTCTTTGTTGAAAAATAAAAGGCAGTCTATAATTTTTAGTTATGCCCTATACCATTCTCTTGTACCTAATTTCCTAATATAAATTAATCCCTCAATGGATCGATCCTTTTGTCCAGCGAAAATATTCTAAACTAGGACGTTCGAATTCTTATTCAGTTTTCCAGTAGGTTTATTATACAAGACATACACATCTCAAATTTTAATAAAGTCTGAAAAACTAAAGTTCTAGAAGCTGCTAAAAATTTCTAGCTACTTTGATCTTATATGTATAAATAGGTCTTGCCATAGTATGGTTATATCATTTGAATAACCCTTTACAGCCGGATGTATCCATTTGGATACATGAAGCCAATGTTTTACGAGGAAATAACTTGTAGCGATGATATGAAATGTTTTGACGATTTGATAAATAAGTTAACACATTCACGTGTTTAGAAGAAGGAAATAATACTCACTAAGAAAATGACCGGCTCTATCCAAAATACTCTAAAATAGCGTCCGTATAGAAATAATCCTTTTCTCGTGTCTCTAAATAATCAAACTTCGAAGCAAGCAGTTGTTAATTTTCCTTCATAGACCTACTGTCTATTGGATCACTAAGACGGATTATTTAAAAAATCCGAATAATAAAAAATGGGAATGTATCCATTTGGATACATCCGGCCACTAAGGGACAAAAATTTTGAAAAAGTCATTTCTTTTTGTCCAGCAAAATTTGATATTTTATGGTTTTTCTTACATCTATATTTGTAGATGAAATCACACGTTGCCTGTTTGTCGATGTTTTGCAGTCCAAAGCTTAAATATTTCTAGAATGTTCTAAGATTCTGCAGTATAGTGCAATAGTAGCTCAATTTTTTCCGAAAATTTCTATAGATTCAGGAATATTGTAGAGAATTGCTGAATATTTCGTGATGGTCTAGTTTGTAACACTAGAAAATGTTCAGAAACTCTTTAGAATGTTTCTGAATTTCTAAAAATTTTCGGAAAAAATCGAGCTACTATTGCACTATACTGCAGAATCTTAGAACATTCTAGAAATATTTAAGCTTTGGACTGCAAAACATCGACAAACAGGCAACGTGTGATTTCATCTACAAATATAGATGTAAGAAAAACCATAAAATATCAAATTTTGCTGGATAAAAAGAAATGACTTTTTCAAAATTTTTGTCCCTTAGTGGCCGGATGTATCCAAATGGATACATGAAGCCATTAGATGCTGAAGCACTTATTGGTTCTGAGAATAAACTTTTCCTATCTCCTTGGTCTAGGAACAACGAAAATCCATAAAAAGACTTTTTTGTTACTTGTCTTCTAGTAGCCGGCTGGAAAGGGATAATAGAATTGAAATTTGATGTCTTTTATATGATTTTTTTTTCTGTAACTTCAATTATCATCATCTTTTGAATTTTGGCCTTTAAGCAAAAATTTTTTTAAAATTTTTTTTTTTTTATATCAAATTGAATTATTTTTCTAGGGCCCATGTCCACAAAATCAATTAGCACTAGCAAATAGTCGTTTATGGGATGCAATTGCTGGATTTCTCTATATTTTTGCACATATGCAAAGAAAATTATCTCAAGTAAAATTTCATCGATGAATCTTTTGTTTTTTTTGTAAAATTTTTTCATTATCTAGGATCCAACACAAATTGAATTATTACGTGAATTTATGAGATTACAAAAAGATATGATTATTATGTTATTATCAATGCTTGAAGGTATTCAATATTATTTTTATTTTTATTTTTTTAAATTAACATTTAATCTTATTCTTTCATTTTTAGGCAATGTTCTTAATGGACCAAGTAAATTTGTTGTTTTTTTCTATAAAAAAAAATTTTTCTAGTCTATTTATCTTAGTTGGTAAACAAATGGTTGATACATTAATTGAATCACAAGTTAATGTTGAATTATTATTACAATTTTTTGATATATTTCTTAAAATAAAAGATTTAACAACATCTGAAGCTTTTCAAGAATATGATATAAATAAAGATGGATTTATTTCTCCAAAAGAATTTCGTCGAGCTATGGAAGCACAAAAAGTTTATACAAGGTAAAATTATTAATTAGAAAAAAACAAAAAAAAAGTATTTATTATTTTATTTAGTCAAGATATAGATTATATATTAAATTGTGTTGATATAAATCAAGATGGAAAAATTGATTTTATGGAATTTACAGAACGTTTTCATAATCCAGCTCGAGATATTGGCTTTAATATGGCTGTTTTATTAACAAATTTATCTGAACATATGCCACATGATATACGTTTACAACGTTTAATGGATAAAGGAAAAAGTTTTCTATTATATTTTCAAGATCATCTTGGTAGAATTGAAATTAAAGGTGGTGCTGGTTATATTGAACGTGTTTATTTTGAAATAACTGAATCAAATATTGAACAATGGAATAAACCACATATTAAAGTTTGTTTGTTTATTTAGATAAGAAAAAAAAAACAAAATCATTTTTCAATAATTTTAAATTTCATTTTAGGAATCGAAAAAAGCATTTTTACATTTAGTTGTTAATGAAACAGATGATAAAGAAAAATTAGAACAATTTATTAATTTTTGTGAAGATACAATTTTTGAAGTAAGATTATTATAAGAATACTAAGAAATGTATCTTATAAAACAATAGTAACAGCAGTTATATCGTATTCTCTCACAGCTTGTGTTAATAACTTTTCTTCAATAGAATATAATGTGTATCATGAAGAATTTAAATTTATTATGAAATTTTTAATTCATTAAAATCAATTATAAATTCTAAAAAAATTAAAAGATCCCAATAAAGGATTATTTATGTTTAATTTTGAATATTTGTTTATCACTAATTTTGTAACTACAATATATTTTACAATCCAATCATATCGTAAAGGTTCTCTAAACAATATAATTTACTTAACTTTTTTTAAAGTCAAGCAAAAAAATGAAATAGCAAGCGATATTAGCAAATCTGTCCTATGTTAACGAAGGAAGCTTTCCACCGCCTTAGTCGTTTTTGAATTGGTGCTATACGCATCATGCAAGTTTTAATAAGCTATGAACTCGGACTTTTAGTTTATTACTACGGAGACATTGTATTTTTATGGTACTTTTTAACTGAATGTCGTGACTAGAGCCCATCGGGTCTGAAATGACATTAAATTGGCTGAAAGAAAAAATAGCGAACGAAAGAGTAGCGAAAAAAGTAACGTCGAGAAAAAAAAATCGCGAAGCAGTCTATAGTAAAAAATTCCTTGCAATCATATGGATTTGTCGAAGAAAGTGTACTTCAACATTTTCGACTAGTAGAATGACGATATTTTATTGTATACAGAAAAATAATCCCTGTTTAAGTAGACCAACAAAAATAATAGTGGATCAAAAATATTCAGGCACAAAACTAATAATAGGACTATATGATTTTTTATGTAGGTAGGATGTGGATGTGGATATCAGTTCTCGCTTCATCTCTAATCTTAAATTCTACATCTTATTTCTTGATGGAGTCACTTACTGGTATCCAAGACATTTCCCAGGAAAATATATTTTTTTCCCTATTTTTGTATGATCGACATTTTTTCTTTCGGCCATTTTGATACATACCCAGGTCTGGGTTGGGTCCGAGCCCGATAAATTTCAATCAGTTGAATCTGGACCCGGGTCCAAAAATTTTAGCCATGCTCCCTCAAGAAAACTAGTTTTCGACTTTTCACTTATAATTCCGCACAGCGACAGACCTGAATGAACATTGTTTATTGTGAAAGTTTCCGATCTCTTTTGATCTGCTATCCTGAAATAAAAACATCGAATCTGTTAGTATATATGAGTGATGTAAAAGACATGCTTTTATTATAGTCATATTTTGGAATCGGAACAACAAAAAGATTTGAAACTACCATAATAATCTATTCTCATTAAGGCTGTGGGAAGTTTCGAAACAAAATTCGAAAATCAATTTTTTCTGGTGTTTCTGGGCACAATCACTTGAAAAATATCGTATTTTCCTTCAATACGAAATTTTCTTTTCGAGTGAATATCATGATTAATCGATTTGAAAAATACTTTATAGGAATTTTAGCTGAATCTTATCTGTATAAAATCGTTTAGACTTACTGGATTTTTTTTGTAATAGAAATTTTTTGTAGAAAAATTGATAATTTCAATTCTTTGATTTTCTAAATTAGATGCAACATGCAGTTGCTATCAGTGGTGAAGAAGATGATCAAACACATCAAAGAGCAAAATCTTCAAATATTGAATCAAATATTGTTCATCCACCAACATCTGAACCTATGAAATTAGCTCTATCATATTCTTGGTCGAGTATAAAATATCTTTTTCATTTACTTCATCCATCAACAATTCATAATACTTATAATCAACTTCGACAAATGACATTTAAGGATATAATTAAAAATTTATATTTATTATTAATCAAATGTATGCATTTATTATTGATGATAATAATTTTTGGATTTAGGTATGTTAAAGAATTTTATTTCAAGCATAAATTTATTATGATCAAATTTTTTTCAGTTTTTTTATATTAAAAAGAAAATCATTTCACCTAAACATTATTATTATAATACTTATAACAAGGAAAAGCTTGTTTTTGTTTTTTTCATGTTTATATAGAACATTAACATACTGTATTTGGAATTTAATGGCTGAAGATGATCAACAAAATGTACAACGACAAGAACAAACTTCTTCACCACCACCACTAGCACATCGATATTCTTATCGTCTACGTATGTTTCGAATTCTATTGCAAAATAAAAGATCAAATAAAAACTTGTTATTTCTTTCTTTTTTTTATTTTAGCTTCGATCAGTATTCCACATGGTTCTGAGAACGGTGAAGATATACTAGGAATCAGCGCATTTGGAATTGGTGTTAGTTTAGATTCAGAAGAAAAACCTAGGTAAACATATATCAATGATTCATTTCTTATCATTCGTAGGCTTTTTTTTGTTAACATTATAGAATGTCTTTAACTGATGAACAAATAAGTTTACTTTTAATGGATAGTACTCGAATAATGGAATCTCGGCGTACATCTTCATCTATAAGTGGTATTGGTTTATCAACAGGACAATCTTTACTTTCATCAATGACAAGTACATATACACCGTTATCACCATCAACAACTTCTAATCGAAATCAACCTGTAATAACACCTTCTGGACCTAATGAAGTAAGTTCTTATTATTTGTATATGTTGATTCGAGTATTGAACTTTGTTTTTTTTTTTTTGCTTTTCTCTAAAGGTAAATACTCAAATTGAATATCAACAAAAACGATCATCACCAAATATCAATGGTACAGTAGGCGAAGATGATGATGTCACGCCTTCGGAACCACCAACACGAACAGATTTTGGAAAGAAAGCTCTGGTAAATAAAGTCTTAACGAAGGATTTTTGTCAAACTACACAATGAAAAACATAGGATTTTGTTTAAGAAAACGCAAAGAGAGATTTTTTTTTCTTTTCAATAATGAAAATCGCAGGTCTCTATCAAAAGTTATTGAAAAAATGATCATCTGCTTTATATTTTAGCGTTGACATTAGTTTATTATGATGATAATCGTTCTCATATAAGAAAAAACCTCTATAGTGAGCGAGTGTTCGAGATTCCTTTTTAATATGCTCTTAGTATTTTAAACAATAACTTGTTTATCTAAATCATGTATCAAGAACTTATACATTTAAATAATGACTGACTACGAGTTTAATATAGAAATGTAATTAGTCCGTCTTTATCAGTTGGAAAATATTCTAGATATGCCATTTTTCTTCTGATAAAACTTGTTGCGAACAATTTTTGCTTTTTCTTATCAAAACGATCAAACAGCATTATTTCAAGAACTATTAATCTTATTTTCTTCTGTTCATCCGCACGATTTCATTTTGTTTTTTTTTTGAAAAGCACAATCAAAATTGTATTTCTTAAGCTAAACTTCTATCGTATATATGGTTTGGTAAAGATCAAATATATGTTTGGATTGTCATTCGAAGAGAAATGAATGGCATCAGCTTCATAACCTTGAAAACGAATAGTATTCTGTGTTATTCGACTTCTCAATATGTAACCTAACAAATATAAACAACTACAACACGATTTGTAAAAACCTGAGTGTAGAAAGGAAAATGAATGTTTTTATCGGATTTTATCTGTCGCAAAGGTTTTTTCGATTAGATCAGTTCAAAAACTTTCGATTGATGACAACTCTAATTTAATACTAGGTAAAAGATAAATGACATTTTTTTAAGCTTAATATTTGTAAGGAATATATTTCATGTTGCATGTTTGCTTGCACATTATATCAAACGGTTTACCGGTGGTTTTTATCCGGTCTCGAACCACATAAGATCAGGAGATTTGTCAATTCCAATATTTATGAGAATATTTCACATCAATAGTGAATGTCAAAAAAAGATAGTTGAAACATTCTTCTTTGATAATTTTAAAATAGGCATTGATGGCAAGAAATTATCATACATTGAAATTTATGGCTCTTTGTCTTGCGTTTATAATTAATTTTCTTATGTTATTTTATAAGGTAAAAATCTTTGTTTTGTTTTTTCGTTAATTGATGAAATTATATGTAAACTATTTTAGGCAATGCCATTAACTACAACAGTTAGTGAATCAGATTCTTCTGATGACACGGAACAATTTGATGAAGATGACAATGAAATAATAGTAATGGATCCAAGAAAATATTATATGATGTATTTATTACGAGCAGCTGCATTTTTACATTCATCAGTTGCATTTTTAATGATGATTAGTTATTATAAATTAAAAGTAGAAATATTTAATTCTTTTTTTTGTTTTTCGTTGTTAAAATAATGATTTGTTTGTTTTTTCTAGGTTCCATTAGTTATATTTAAACGAGAAAAAGAAATAGCTCGAAAATTAGAATTTGAAGGTGCTTGGTTAATTGATCAACCAAGTGAAAATAATTCTTGGATATTATCATATTTATCACGTGAATGGCATAAACTTGTTATAAGTTCAAAATCATTTCCTGATTCATATTGGGATAAATTTGTTAAGAAAAAAGTTCGAAATAAATATTCAGATCAATTTGATTATGATGAATTAAGTCGATTTTTGGGTATGGAAAAAAATGATACACCGGGAAAATTTGAAATTATTAAACCAATTGAAACTGGCTTATGGGCAAAGTATATAAAACAAAAACAAAAGATTGATAAAAAAAAGAATTTTATTTTATTAATTTAGGATTAAATCTATTGATATGCGTTATCTAATTTGGAAATGGGGTGTTATCTTTACTGATAATGTAAGTCATGATAAATTAAAAGATTCAAAAATCAAAACAAAAATTTATTTTCATATTACTAAGGATTAGTCAGTTCTTTGACGAGCCGATGATCTTGTATCAAATAGGTTAACATGTGCAAATATCTTCTTCTTGTGTGAATATGTTTGTGAATGTTGTAAAAAGTACAATACTTGATTTTCATGTAGATGAAAATGCATCTTCAAGATTTCAAGAGTGATGAATTGATTTGACACAATCATCATATGATCAAGTAACAAGCGAATAGTAGCAAGGCAAACAAATAGTAGAGCACTCGCAAAAACAAATTTCTGTTCGAAATAAATATTATGATAATGAGGCTAAAGAACACACCTAAGTTTCACAGTTTAGTCCCAAGGAGTTGTACTGGCAAGTGCTTTTTGATGTATAGTGTATCAAACCAAGTTTCAAAAGAACTGTTGTACAATCTTTTGCTGACATCACACATATTACTAGGGAATCAGTCTTAACAAAAAAAAATAGAAAATTTTTGGAAATGCATTACAAGAACAGATCCAATTTGAAATAGACAAAATCTTTTGTAGATTGACTAATATATTCAATCGATATGTCCTTAAACTATATAGACTTATTATGCAATGACTTTCGAGATCATTCGTTGTTTTTTGTATAAATATTGAAGAATATCATATCGGACATAAAATATTCGCCTGTTCATTCGAATGTTATACAGCAGGCCTCGAAATGGACTGCTCGGCCCGACGATTTTATCCTTTCTTGACATAACTCTTTCTAAGATTTAGCTCACCCTAATGAGGAATAGGGAAAGCTTCTCCACGCTAATCCCTTGGTCATCATTTTTTATAAAAGCCGAAATATATGGAATGGCTGTCTATAGAGAACAAGGTCTTTGTAAACAAAGTTCTTTTCGGGCTCGGACCGAGCCATAAAAATGTGTCCCGATTTCGAGGTCAGTTATACAGCTAATATAAATCTCATATTCAGAAAAACATAATATTAGTGCAAAACTCTTCAGAAAACTCCTAGGACTTCGAATATGTCATATTCATCAAGTTCTACATGATGCTAAGAGACATATCGATCAAATTATATATCCTAGTAAATGTATTTAGTTGGAAGTACCCGCCTATTGGGATTGCTTTCAATAGGATATTCCAAACGGTAGCCTATTGAGAATTGTCTCACTATATGGAAATTGATCAGGTGCGAGAGATAAGATCGGTTTGGTTCTAAAAAAAAGAACACGAATCGATCCCACTTCTGCCAGGTATTCACTGAGGGTACTTGTCTAGTTTCTATAGTCGAACGATTACAAATTTCAATATCTTGCAAAGAAATTCTTATAATATTCTTATTTTTTTTTTGTTTAGTCATTTCTCTATGTCTTCTTCTACTTTTTATTTTCAATTATTGGCAATTTCGCATTTTTTGTCTTTGCAATTCATTTACTTGATATTGCAATAAGTGTAAAAGCTTTAAGTACAATATTAAAATCTATAACACACAATGGTCGACAAGTAATTATCTATTAAAATTATTATTATTTTTTTTTAATCAATTAAATTTTTCTATGTTTTAGTTACTTTTAACAATAATGTTAATGGCTGTTGTCGTTTATCTTTATACAGTGATTGCATTTAATTTTTTTCGTAAATTTTATACGAAAGAAGAAGACGAAGAACGAGAAGAAAATTGTAAAGATATGCTTACTGTAAGTCGATAAATAAAACTAAATATTACTTATAGTTCTGAACAAAAGTAACTGCACTCCAATGAAGTCCTACTATTTTTTATGATATTGAGTTGATATATTGGATACGTGCGTCTAACAGGAAATCTCAATAGCAAGCAACAACCTGCTACTCCTATTGTGATCATCTTATCTTTACCATGTTGGTACAAATATTTTCGTCGAACATCTCATGCGAAAAGTCAATGTCATGGTTATCTCTAGTTCGAATTTTGCTAGAAATCACTTTAAAATGACTAAGATATTGTCTTCTATATTAAAAATATACATTGAAGATGGATCTTTAAGTAGCATTTCATAGGGAGGGAGGGAGGGAGGCAGTTACTTCTGTTCAGGAATATATTTTGAATGTTTATGTTTGATTTTAGTGTTTTAAATTTCATCTATACTCGGGTATTCGAGCTGGTGGTGGTATTGGTGATGAACTTGAATCACCTAATGGTGATCCACTTGAATTATATCGAATTATTTTTGATATAACATTTTTTTTCTTTATTATTGTCATTCTTCTTGCTATTATTCAAGGTATAAAATTGAACTAAGAAAAAAAATTTTTTAGTATTTAATGAAATTTTTTAGGTTTAATTATTGATGCTTTTGGTGATCTTCGTGAACAACTTGATTCAGTGAAAGAAACACTTGAAGTAATGCATAGATTTCTTTATTTATTTTTATCTTATTTCATATTTATATTTTAGTCAAAATGTTTCATTTGTGGAATTGGTCAAGATTATTTTGATAAAGAACCGCATGGTTTTGAAGTAAGAAAAATTAATCTATGACAAAAAAAAAGAAACAACTTCAATCTTTTTTTTCTTTTAGACTCATACACAAGCGGAACATAATTTTGCCAATTATATGTTCTTTTTAACACATCTTCTTAATAAACCTGATACAGAACATACAGGACAGGTGATGTTGTTGTTATTTGATAAAATTTTAAGTTAAATCGATTATTTTATTTTTAATAGGAAAGTTATGTTTGGGAAATGTATCAAAGTCGTAAATGGGATTTTTTTCCTATTGGTGATTGTTTTCGACGTCAATATGAATCGGGTAGTACTGGAACAACAACAACAACAACAACATCATCAACAACAACAGAAGGTTAAACAAGATTTTATATAATCCTGTTTATTTCATCGGTGATTTATTTCAATGGATTTTTCAATTTATTTAGGCACCTATATTTTTCTTTTTATTGCATTAATGCAAAACGTTCTTTTTCTGATTTGTATGGAGTTCTCTCTCTCTCTCTCTCTCTCTCTCATTTTTTTAAAATAAATACTTCAATCGCTTTGAGTGTGATGAAAAAATGAGTTTTAATATTTTCATGAGAAGAACTTTTGATGACACACTTGATTATATATATTTGTTCAAATACTTGTTGGAACAAAACTTACAAGGGAACATTCCCAGGTGCCGGAGCACTTTTCAGCTGAGGTTTCACGCATTTTGTAGCCCATAGTGAGCTGAATCTATGGTTAAAAAAGTTCGAGTTTCTGGCTTGTTTCTTCTGAGGAGATATCGAGCTTCTAGCGAATTTTCTCTATAGTATACCTACATTGGCAGCAAAGCTATATTTTCGAGTTTTGACCTGAAACTTGGCCTGGATAAAGGCCTCAGCTACACTAGTTTGCATAAAAAATGTCAGAAGTTTTAAATAAAGTCTCTCTAAGATATGAACCTATCAAAGTACACTCCTTTTTTCATAAATAATATATATAGTATGTATTTTTTTTGAAGCTTCGTATCTAAGAGAAATTTTATTCAAAACTTCTGAAATTTTTTATGCATACTATATAGTTGGTTTAATCTATTGCTTTCTTATAGACAAAATACATGAAAATAAGTTTGATTGAAGGGCTTTAAGAAATCTACAGAATCGAAAACAAAATATAATGAATTTAGCACAAAAAAATTACGAAATTAAACACGAAAAAATACACCAGATTTAAGAAGAAAAAATATACAATTGAGCAAAAAAAAACTACATAAAACTTAACAAAATACAAAGAATATCTGGCGATAAACGAACAACATTATGACCAATTCAAAAATGTTGTTCTATCACAATCAAGCCTAACATTAAATGGCTCGAACATTAGTTCAATTTGCGTTCCTTACTCTTTTGTTCTTCGAAATTTTCTCTATATAGATGACTATTTTCTAGATTTTTACATCAACTTGTATATGAAACAATCCTTGATCATAAGAATAAGTTATGAACCATCTGACATTAGACATAATATAGACCACATGAACTTCATCATGAGCATCCTTGAAGAAAATAAAATTTTCTGATGTCTATATAAAAAAAAGAAAGTCAATGGCATATATAAAATAATAGTTTATTATATTTTTGACGTTGTTGATCATAAACGCGGAAAAGGTTCTTGATGAAATATCAATGGGCGACCGTGATGAGATGCTCCCATTTATAATGATACATATGTTTGTATCTGTCATAGATGGTTTCCATAAACTAGTATTCTTCCATCTGAAATAAAATTATTAATATAAAGATGACTATAAGGATTTGACTATAGAACGGGACATATTTAGGTTTGTAGAGAAAGACTTCCTCTGTCCAGTGGTATATATATTATCGTATTCTGTTGCGTACCGTGATAGAAACTTGAATTGAAAAAATCATGCATGTTACATTTTTTTAAGGGATACTTGTATACTATAATCTAGATCATATTGGACCAACACATAATCTATCCCAATCATTCATATACCGCTCGATAGCTTACATTATGTACTTTTATAATCTATGTCAATCTTTTCTATACTTGAGTTATAATGTCCCTTATTATAGTTTGAAAAAAATAATTCTATATATTTTTGATCATATCACTTGAAAACAATTTTATAGTTTCATAGTTATAATTTTGAAAAATATATTATAACTGTACTAAAATGTAGAGTTTTGTTTGCTTTGTAAAATAATATGTAGAATACCTTTGCTCGACTTCATACAGTAAACTTATTAATGGCTTACTGATACATAATAATATAAAAATTGCATATATCACATACAGCCAGTATGTTTTAGAATTTATTTTATTATGAATACTTGAATAATTTCTATTTCAAATATGATGACCACACTCAAAAGCCTCTCCAATAAAGATTCTAAGAAAAGAGAATAGCTCTAGAAATCAATAGAAACAAACAATCAATGCTGATGTCAAACAAATTTTGATCTTTTTTTAAGATTACATCGATGTGGATTCGTATATTCATTCGTGAAGGATTCATCTGTTGATTTAGCATTTGATGAGTCTTCATCAGTTGTATCAAAACTTGTTGCTTCTTCAGCACTTGTTGATGGGTCGCTTGATGATGTTTGACTATCATTATGACTAATTGTTCCATCATTATATGTTAACATTTGTGTACTTTTATCTTTCTGTTTATACACAGTACAATTCAAAACGTTGATAAATAATACTACCGCTGTTGCATAAAAGGCTGATATTTTTTTATTATTTTTCCGATAATATAAAGCAATTAATACCGCAGTTATATGAGAGCAAATACCATCTGCAGTACGTAAACCGCTTTTACAAGTACAATATGTGACAATATCATCAAGTTTATTTTGTCCAAAACATATCCATGCAGTATGTTTCTTTGGATTGTCAGTTGGGTGTGACGGGTGTGGATGCTACTGAAGAGAAGATTCACAGCCACACCCACACCTTCATTTTATTAATTAAATGATATTGATGAATAAAATTTCCGTGAATCAGAGACCACCATATCATTTGATTTGTTTTCAATTTTCGTTGATTATATAAATATATTTTAAATTTTCTAATATAAGTAACGCTAAAAACAAGTCATTCTCAATAAAAAAAAAGGTCTATATCATCACATACAGAAATTTTTCATGTAAAAAATTTCAAATTTTCAATAGCTTTTGAATGGTTATCAAAAATAAAAAAAATCATTTACTCAATTCAAGCAATTAGAAACTTCTCACGAATTATCGTCGAGAAAGAAAAGCTCAAATTTTGTGAGCGAGAAAAGTTCCTTGACAAAATTTATACTTTCAATCTTTTAAAGATCTCTCGTTTCAGGACTCTCATTTTGGGATTTTATTTTGAGTAAAAGCTTATTCTATCTTTAGAACAGGATGTACACTCTTCTACAAAATACTAGATTAAGACTTTTTTTTAAAAAAAAAAGGAACGAGAGCTCACATTATAAACAGCTTGCTCTATATGGTCAGACGTCTTCTGTAGAGAATTCCTAATAATAGAATCGATAGAAAATGTTTTATTCTGTTAAGTAACAAAAACGTTTAATCTTAGTAATAACGATTCAGAAAACAATATCAAAAGATAATAATAATAGCAATAACTATAACAATCCAGAAAAGAGAAAATCACCAACTGTACAATAGAAGAAAATCAGTGAAGGAGATCAGTGTGGGTGTATTTATGGATGGATACTTTCTTATTTTACATGCACACCCATATTTACAACAATGCCAACACTCACATTCTCATTAGGTTCTTCTGCAATGAGCATTGCTAATAATAATATCTATTCTTTCTTTCATAAAAACTGATATACGTAAAATATGAGTAAAATTTTTTCTATTAAATCTTTCAATTAGTATTTCGAAAGGATATTGAATTAATCATATTCATCTTTTCTTTTTGGTTTATGAAAAAGTTTCTAGGTAAAATATTTGCTTCAGTTCATATATATGAACTTGTCATAGTGAAGATGTCATTATAAAGGTAAAATCACATATTTCACTTTGTGATGTATTTCTCATTCTTGAATGATTCTTATCCTTTGGATCTTCGAATTGAAACTTGACAATCATTCGCATATTCTACTATAAAAATAAATTTGAATGTTGAAACTCGATGTGAGAGTAATGTTTTCTTTCTGGAGACTTCATCTTGATATTCTGAATTACATGTTTCTTAAAAAACCAGACGTGCCCGGACTACTACCTACAATATTGAAATTCTCTCGTCGACACCTAGTCCTATTCGCAAAATATTTTAAAAAATCTATTCAAGCATTATTCTTTGCCACTGATAGTGACTGCTTGTATTTCATTCTCTCTCTCTCTCTCTTACCTCAAATTGAAAATATGTAATAGAACAGTAAACAAAATCTTATCATTTGATTGAGTTTACAACTTTCTTTCTGTGTACTTGAATGTTACTGGCTTAAAACACGCATGGATCATATTTTGTTTCATCAATTCACTACATTCTATTCCATACACAATCATGAAATGGTTTATAAGTCTCATCTTCTCTTCTCTTCTGCTCACTTGTGTAATTGGTAATCCATTAGGTCAATATTTTTTGAAAAACAAGAGAGTAAAACGCACAGTATTTCGATCAGAAGTAGCTTCTAATGGTGTTACAATTAAATCGAATGCAGATGCTTTTAAATTCCTCGTTGAATTCGGATATAATCGATGTCAAACACCATCTGGCACTGATTCCAAAATTTATGGAAGTCCAGCATGTCAGTCAAGCTTCGAATCAATGCTAGAACATTTTCAAACTTCTTTTCATCTACCTGTGACTAGAGAGCTCGATGGTGCCACATTGAAATTAATGAATACACCACGATGTGATTTACCCGATTCTTCATCTTCGTTGATCAACAAAACAAACACGCTCTGGTAATATGTCTGTTTTTCCTACTTCTGTAGTTTTTATCTTAAAAGTATTAGTTGTACCTGCTGAAATAACATTTTGAAGTTCTTTAGTAGTTTGTCTTGAAACATACAAATGTTCAGTAAGATAACTAATGATGTTGATTCATCGATTTTTTATTCCAATAGATTTGTTGTTTTCTCATATTTCCTTACAATGCACTAAGAATGAAGGTTAAATTTCTATCATCGATAAGTACAATTCAATCGTCTTTCTTCAATAGAGATAAACGAAAATACAATAATATCGTGCGAAAGCTTCGTAAATTATAGTGTTTAATAGAATGATAGATCTGCTCTCTATAATCTTAGAGCTAATTCTGTGATGTTCTCCTTGTGAAGCTTATTTTGATGAAAAATACGATGTAGAGAAACATTGAAAAAATTACTGATACTCTACACAGAGAAAAGTTACTGAAATGACCAAAAATATACTCTTTTTTTTCACTTTTTAGGCCGACAAATCGCACACTTACGTGGAAATTAGATTATGATCATTCATTCTACGATCTAACAAAAACCAGTAGACAAATTGAACAGAGTTTTAATGATTGGGCTAGATACACAAAATTAACATTTCGCCAAGTAACTGAACAAGAAGATGTTGATTTCAATTTGGCTTTTGAATCTGGCCAACATTCAGATGCGTATCCTTTTGATGGACGCGATGGAACTCTTGCACATGCTTTTTATCCATGGCAGCACGGACGTGGACAAATTCATTTTGATTCAACTGAAAAATGGACAGACAAGTAAGTAGACATAAAAAAGAGATTGTATTGAGCTGTTGTTAGAATACATAGATATAATGGCAAAGGTCACAATTTACGTATAGTGGCTTCGCATGAAATTGGACATGTTCTTGGTCTAGAACATAATACCAATAACAAAAAGTCAATTATGTACCCATTTTACAATTTGATTCTTCCAGAAGATATTTTGCTCAAAGAAGTTAGTAAATTATTTCGTTGGTCTTTTTATGTTGGTTGCTGTAAGCTTGAGTAAAACTTCCTAGGTCTTTATCTAAAAAATAGTATTCTTCTCTAACTTGTGAACTCGACCGTTTGCATTTCATTGCTTTAGTTTTAAAACACAAAAGAACAACAGGTGGATAGCATATATTAATTCAATTTGATTTTTAGACTTCACGAATTTTAGTTAGAAGACATTTTTGATATTGAGATTTCAAATGGCAATCACTATGATAGACAAAGAACTACAGGCTTTTGGAAAGAAATACATTGAAATCGAACATAATAAAATATGGAAGTGTTTCATTAAAATGAAGGTGTGGATGTAAATCAAGAGGAGAAGAATATTCACATCCGCAACATTTTACTAACAATAGGAGGTTAGATAGGAGAGCTATTCTTATATTTTTGCTCGAACAAACGAAAAATATTTACAGATGCAAAATGATGCATCCGTGTTCACAGTATGATATAATTGATTGGGCAACCAAAGCTAATAGACTTCGTTACGTCGAAACAAAGTAGATACAATTCTACTAATGATCTGATCGTTGGATACAGCCTCCATTCAAGATCACTAAATCTGGAGGGTTTTCATGTTTGACATTTTTATTTTGTCTTCCAACAACATTCCTGATCTTCTGTTAATCTCATTAACTCAGTTTATAGAGAGTAGGGTGTGAGAGTGACATTCATGAAATTCTCGATTCATTAATAAGGATAGTGGTCTAACAGTGATTAAATCTCAAGTGTATGTCACGTCAGTTACTAGTTCGATACTTTGAATATACTTCAACATTTCTGTCAAAACAAACTCAACAAAATTACAAATATTTCGTGCAAAAAGCAGTAAAGCCCTCGACACATTAGAAGACCCGGTGTCTTCTATTTTGTCTTATCGTGCATAAGTTGCAAGGGGATCTTCTAATATATTCTTTAAAAAAAGCTATTTTTTGACAGTATCGTCAACAAATTTTGGTTCTAGTCAAATTTTGTCCAATATACCGTTATTAAGCGAGTTTATTTATTTCTCGTGCGTAGAATGAGAAAGAATCATATGTTACCCTGTGATAAGGAAGAAAGTCATCGTTAGTAAGAAATGTTGTTAAGAACAGTACAGGTAATACTCCCTAACATCTTGGTACAATGTCCAGTAGAATTCTTTTTTCTAAAGAATTTTATTATCACTAGCAACATTTTACCTTCTAAATAACTAAATAATTGAAAAAAGAAAATGACTTTCTTTTTGTCGAGTTTACTTAAGGCAACTGTTTATGCTGAGGTTTGATTAGTACAGATAGAATTAGTTTCGGTGAAATCTATCACTAACATAATTATTTCTCACAAATTAACTTCGATGAATATGATTGTCTTCTGAAGAAACAGTTTGTAGAAAAACGGCAGTTGAATACATATTCTGTGTTTTCTTTTATGTCTGTTTCGAAAAATGACTTTGGGTCGTATTGAAAAAAGAAATTCGTTCTCAGACTCATAAATACTCACCGAATAAATTTCGAAGTGTATATGTAAAGTTAGGTTTTCTTCAACTATAAAAATCTGTTTTGGAATAAAGACATTTCTGAACCTCTAGAAGAAATTTGTAGACCAACAAACTTTTTAATTAGTACAAAACGAAATTTTATCAAATATGTTACTATTTTACAAAGATCCCTTCATGTGCTACATCCGCGAACGTGGACTCGGCTCACTAGATCATATGGTCATAGAAAGGTTTTTCCGCATATAGAAATTAATGAATTTTCCCAGAATAAGCTGCAAAGAAGAACTAAAATGACTCTACGATATGCTTCCAATAAAAAACATATTACTTTATAAACGATTGTTTCCTATTAGCTGTATCTCAAGATTTTTCTAACTTGGAACTGACAGATCGTTATCACGACGAAAGTAAAATATTGTTCACACTGAACTTAGACATCATTCTTAAAAGATATAGAAACTCGACTTTAAATAGAATGAAACTATCTCTCCTGTTTACATGTAATTCTAACTGATGAATCTTCGAAGGTTTCTGACGATGTAGAAATTAATAATAACTGCAGGAAGGAAAGTCGTAAAATAGTAAGCTTCTCTGGGTACAATAGTTATGATGATGTTTTCATAACGGTTTCGTAGGATCAAGAGAGAATTCAAGCATTGTATGGAGAAAAGCCAGCGACGGTGCCAACTTTCCCACCAACGACAAGTGTTCGAGCAACAAATGTGACGAAGCAACTAACAGAAACTGGAGAAGGTCAGTGAATACTGTTGATCGATAGTGCTCACAGTCAAAACACATTATCTAATTAAAAGAAAAATCAGTTCAATTGTGTTTCGAATACTCAAAGATCGAGAGCAAATCATAAACTGCATTCCAGATGATAGCATTGATTAATGTATACAGTTTTATTTTTGGTTAGTACCAGCGTCCTTCGAAACTCTCACTCACGCCTACCGTACTCATCCATGTCTGTATCGGTTTCGACGACAAACAATAATAAACAAAGGAATTTCTTATATAGAATTCTCTCACTTTATTTACAACATTAGTGCCACAGAGAAGTAATGTATTTAAAAATGTGTTTTCAAAAGTCTAAATTCTCTGCTTTTCGTTTCATTTATTGTGCTATCAATGCTGAGTTTTTTATGATGCATACATTGATTAAAAGATCAAGTCGCATGGGTTGCAATTCTTTTTTCTATATTTCTAGTATTTGTACAATATGATTGTAATTCCCTACGCTTGCGAACTATATACTGTACGGTAACATAATGTCTAGGAACGAATTTTCTTCAACAGGAAATTTATTTTTCGACCAAGAAATGTAATATCACTCAACAAGATAATCGCTATTATTTTTCCCAAACGTCATTCATCTCGTTAGCAATTATTTAATTGCATGTTTATAAAAAGTAGTTGATCAGGATTTAAAAAACGTAGTGAAGTAATATTAGACCTCATTGGAGTGACAATTTTCTTTGTTGAACAAATCATTTCGAAATATTAGAAATAAATGATCATTTTGATGCAAAATATTGCGTATGCAGCGCACTCAACAGATATTGTACTATCAGATAATCATTTATTTCGAACGTTTTGACATCATTTTTGTGATAAACAACTTGGAGAATTTGAACACGTCAAATCTAATTCCACTGGCTTTTTTCGAACCAATATCGGCTAGTTTCTATTATCGATAATAATAGTGATTACATCATTGATTAAGATATTACATGTTTTCGTCGCAAAATAAATGTATTTATCCCGCAGAAAAAGTCCTCCGAACTTATGATACTATCGATTAATGCAGCACATCATTTGCCTGTACAACTGTTACAAAGTCTATGTCATCGGATTTTCACGTTGAATAATCGAAGCTTCAATCACAGTCTCACCATCTTTCAAAAACTTGCCATGATTCATAGCCAAGAATGAATTGATACTCGGAAAAATTCCAATTTTCATCCGATAATTCTTTCTTGATATTTCTTCCACTGAATTATATCAGACATGAATTAAAGGCGGTAAACTATTCGTGTACTAAATTATCTAGTTGGAGAATGATATCATTCGCCTGAATTCTATATACCTTTCTATACGTGAAATTTTAGCAATTCTAATATGTTTCTCGTGGTCGTTGCTAGACACTAACAAACTTTTATAGATGGATCAAAACCTATTGGCTACATGGAGAATATAAAGTCATATCAGAAGACTGAATACTTTTAATGACCATATCTGAAACTTTTGTATTGCTGTTTACCTACCCTCACACACGCTTCAAGAAGAAATAGATGTCAGGGTAGCTGAACGAAACAATAATCACATTTCATCAATTACATTGATATCACAATGCATAATCTCAGCGATACATGAACCGTCTTATCACTTACCATGCCGCTTCCTCACACATCTAAGCTAAAGAATTGTGTGAGTTCAGCTCCTTGCAATAAAACTCATACAACGTTACAAAATATGATGCTCGGCTAAAAAGGGTATTATCTTAATCTCTAAAACACTCAGTACTCTGTCAACACTAATACTTCTGTCAATTTCAGTTCAATTTACTTCGAATATTCTTTTTCTTTCAGAACAAATAATTGATATCATTGATAATAATCGGACAATCTATCGTATAGACAAATTTTCAAATGGTGACTGGTATAAGGGACAATTTGAAAACGATAACAAGCACGGTCAAGGAACTTATTATTATGCCAACGGTGACAAATACACAGGCGATTGGATCAATGATACGATGACGGGCGAAGGTGTCTATATTTGGTCCGACGGTGCTAAATACGAGGGTCAATTCAGCAATGACAACAGACACGGAAGAGGGACGCAGTTTTATTCGAACGGTGAAAAGTATACAGGAAATTGGATCAATGATACGATAACTGGCGAAGGTGTCTACATTTGGCCGAATGGTGATAAATATGAGGGTTTGTTTAACTCTGGCGATAGACATGGACAGGGAACACATCATTTTTTGAACGGTGATAGTTATACGGGTGATTGGATCAATGATACACGAACAGGTAAAGGTATTTTTACTTGGTTTGATGGAGGCAAATATGAGGGTCAATTCATCACAGGAAGTAGACATGGCCAAGGGACACAGCTTTACTTGAACGGAGACAATTATATAGGTGATTGGATTAATGATGAGAGAACGGGTAATGGTGTTTTGACTTGGTCCAATGGTGAAAAATATGAAGGTCAATTTAATGTTAATAATAGACATGGGCGAGGAACGCAGCTATATTCGGATGGTAGCAATTACACAGGTGATTGGGTGAATGACACAAGGACAGGTCACGGTGTATTTGTATGGGGTACTCATACAAACTGGACAGGTGATATATATGAAGGTCAATTCAAGGAGAATAATATGCATGGGCGAGGGACATACCA